TGCCCTTTCTAATAGTCGATTTTTTTGTTTGTAATAATCGTAAGGCCCCCCTACCTATGCGATTCCCTTCGTACTGATAAAAATTTTCTTACCACCACTTTTTAACTCTTATATCTGCGTTTCCTAGCACTTTCAGGACAAAAACGCAAAAAAAATTTAACTAAATAATCTTTAGAAAAATCCCAATCATCTTTAATAAATTAATTTATGTGTAATCACGTTTATCATAATACTTTTTTAAACAATCTTGAAACACAAATAAAATAATAATGTTTGGATATTACACACATTTCCTTGGCAAACAAGGTGAAACAAAAGTTGCATGCATTTGAAATATTCATGCTTTAAAGATATTCTTGGATACACCGGATGTTACGCTTTTGCCTGACCAAAAAAATTCTTTATATTATTTGTTTTCGAATGACCTACTAATATAGTATTAGTAGGCCATTTAATCTTAAAATAACGATAAAATAAACAAATAAAGAACGATTATGTTCCTAAATAAAATTATCATTAAGTTAGTACAATTACTAGAAAATTATTTGAATTAAATACTTGGAAGGTACCAACCCAGACAGCACACCAAATCCTTTGGATATCTACTGGACATCCCAATATCCACTGAATATCCAGTCCATGGTGGATATCTATTTTATATCCATGAGATGTAATTTATAGACATGGAAATGTCCATAAATATTAGTAATTATATAGCAAATTATTAAAAAATTACGCCATTGTGGCTAATAGTACCGTTCAGATATTTAAAATTAATTTTTTAAGGTGTATTCAATATCCCATGGATATCCACTAAATATATCCAAGTCTAGGCGCGAACGCAAACCATGGTGGATATCCATTAGATATAATTTTTGATTTTACTTACTAAATATAGATGGCGATACCACTTTCGCTCGTTGAATATCTACTCATGCTCAACCCGCCGTAATTGAGTTCGATCGAAATTGGTATCGCAATCAGACTCCATTAGAGACTGGAGTCGAGAATTTCCATTTATTGCTGAAGAGTCCTAATAAGGATAACTTTCTCCTTAGTGGGCAAAATCAAAGGCAGAGTGTTGAAAATATTTTTTATCTCTGCTATTTTCTTTCGACGTTATTCAATAATCATTGGTTACTTATGAACCTCTGCTAAAAATACCCATAAAATATTTTGCTGAATATCCGAATATCTTCTATATCCTGGGATATATACAGCCATTTGGATATCCATATTAGATCCGCTGGTAATATTGGATATCCACAAAATATATTATGTGGATATCTCTGGGATTTCTTGTATTGTCTAGAAGATACCCATTAGATATTTTGCTGGATATCCATAGGATATCTTCTATATTCTGGATATAGACGGACATTTGGATATCCATATTAGATCCACGGGATATTTCTGATATCCTGTGGATATATTGGATATCCACAAAAGATATTCTGTGGATATCTCTGGGATTTGGTGTGTTGTCTGGGAAGCTAATTGGGCTGCTATAAATGGTTCAATTTATGTTACCAACACTCGGCTTCAGATCCTACACCAAACCATGCGAATTTTCAATTTATTATTAATTAAATGATGATAAATGATTTTTTTTAATTTTTCTATTTATTCATTTATTTTTTTTTTTTTGACACAGACACAAGATAGGAACCATTTTTTGCCCAGAGGACCTCCTGGGCGGGATTAGATTTACACAGGTATTAATCCTTGGGTGGTTAAACTGAGGGGAGGAAGACATAAATGTATAAAGATACTTTTGGTATTCTATTATTTATTTTTATTTAATTTACATGATTTGTTGTAGGATTTGATGGATGCCGTATAAGCAGTAATTTATTTCTATTGATATGACATCCAGATTTTAAATCGCCGATGATAGTGAATGGGGTTTTCCGGATTTTTCTCGCATGTAAGTCAAATGCTCGGTTAAATCACCATTAATCAACTGTAAGTTGCCTCGTAGCGATACCTTAGGCAAATAATACTAGAATTAAGATAATAATGCTTGGTATTCTATATTATACTCTTTACAGTTTAACAGACCCCCTTAACTTAATCCCCATTTTCAGTCAGATTTTTATTAGAATCAATAGGCTTGATCCTCTTATAAAGCTTGGTTTTTTCTGATATCGTTTTTTGTTTCTTTTTTTTTTTCAATAATTTAACCCCCTTATCTCCCTATTTTTATTTATTTATATATTTCCTTATCGATTTCGGCTTTTGATTTCTATTTTCGTTTTTGACTTATCATACAGAAAAAAAACGTGACATCTGACAGACGGACAAAGTAAATCTATATACTCTTCACACACTACTGTTAATATCTATTTTTGAGTACGCCACTGCGCTCTGGCTAATCGCGTTTTCATGGCGCGCTTTTATAAGTGAGCCAGAAAGAGTGAGAAGCGTTCTTGAAAATCTTTAGCTAAAAAGAGATGTCACACAATAACAGATGCCTGAAACGTAGTGAAACAGTTATAAAATAACGCACACCGTGACGTCACAAAATAGGGCGGGTCATACCAATTTTCTAAATTATAGGTATAGAGAAACAATAACGATTAAATAAACCTGTCTGCACTTTTGCATTACTCTTTTACGACATATGTCAAACTCAAGCTAGTTAGTTTTGGTGATAATAAATGCCATTTTTTTAAAATAGAGTGATTTAAATGATATAAAAACATTTTCATTCCGTTAATCTACAAATATAAAATTATTAATTTAAAATTAATCAAAATATGACGCAAAGTGCCTTCACTTGTCATATCACAAAATAGTCCTTATTCTGTATCTATCTACTTCATATTCTAACTTCTCAACGTTTCCAACCAACTTTCAAATCAAGCTGCCAAACTCTAAAAATCAACATGAGACAATTTTAATTGTGAATCGTATTAAAAATTAAGTTTAAATAAAACTGCAACTTTAATAAATCGGAAGTATATGTGTCAATTCAACGATTGTTACCAAAAAAAACGTTACAGGTAAAAAAATTACTATTATTTGTTGAGGTTATGTTTATTTCCAAATTTCTTGACCCTAGTACAATTTTATATGAATAATTGTTTATTTTATAAGTTGTCCCTTGAAGTTATAGAAAAATGCCCTATCTATAAATGTCAGAGATACTGATAAACAGTGTCAGACTGATATAGCACTGAAGATTTTATTACAGTTTTTTTAAAGAGGAAATAAAATATAAATATTGCACTGGCCTAAATTAATTCAAGAAACTTAATAGTTGTGTCTATGTTAGGTATGTACCTGTATCATGAAGACTAAATTAAATATTTACCGATATCTATATAGGAGGTAAACTATGTAGACAGTGCAGTTTTATAAAGATTATATTTTTAAAATCGGCTTATCAAAACCTTTTCAGGGGTATTCTATACCATGTATAGTGATGTCACAATATAAGTTTACTTTAAAAAAAGAACACTCTCTTCAATGTTTAATAAACGTTAAACAACATTATTTAACTCTCAAGTTAGTCGTACTATTTATAGAGGCATGTTATAAGACATTAGGTATGTCATAGAAAATTTGTTATCAGAACATAGAAATATGTTACAAAAACCAACAATTCATGTATATTAAAAAAAAGTTTTAATAGTTAGATTATTAGTAAACAATACATATTGTGACAATAATTGGGGCTAATTCTCGACTAATTGTTGTTTCAGAATAACGGAAATTAACGTAGCGCACTCACCCTGCATGATTTCGGTTTTGGTTCAGACGTGAAGTAAGACTTTTTTTACCATTAGAAAGTCACTGTTAGTCTAGTTGCTTTCCTATTTTGTGAGGTTTTGTTATTTTTAAACATTAATAAATCAACACGTAATGAAGCAAATTTCAAAATTTTTTGCACGGTTGAATAGAGAATAAACCCCCTTTTAAATGAGCTATCACTCACCACCCCCATTTAAATTTTTCGAAAGGGTTGCTACCCTCCAGTAAGGGATGAAATTAAGGGTAAACTAATCATACAAAAATGTACATTGTAGAAATCAAAAATCCACCTGTCTCGGCGATTTTCCTAACAAGACCCCAGTAACGAGTAAGACTTATGATGCTCACTGTATTTTAGTTCACTTGTTTTTTGCCAATAAAGGGTATTTAAAAAATATATTTTATTTAACATGTGACAAATTATGATAATGATTAAATTTGGAATAAAAACTGAAAAACGGTAGGTAGTTTCATGTAATATTTTTTACACAAAAATCAATGTCAAGCTTTCTACATTTAAAAATAATCTCAAAATATGAAGAAAAGTCAGTTGACTATCTAATAATGTTTATAGATGATTTTCAACGTATTAAAAACAAAACAAATATTACAATAACTAAAATATTTATTTATTCATTCATTAAAAGTTGTAGTGCTTGAAAACAGTATGATATTGATGATAATAACCACTTGTACAAATTTTTGAACTGAACTTACAAATGATAAAATTATTGGAAAAAGTGAACAACCATTTTAAATTACTACGAGCCGCCACCGCCTAACTGTGTATTCCATCGAATCTAATGATATGTCTATCATCTTATAACATAAAAAAATTATTTAGATAGATAGTGAATAGAACTGGACCCAATACAGTGTCCTGAGGTACACCACAAGTGACAACTTTTTTCAATACTTTCTTCGTTTTATATCTTCACTTTTTGTGTTCGGTCTGTTAAATAACTTGTGAAAAATTGAATCGCTATACCATTTTAAAAATGCAATAAAATAATAAGTGTTCCATTTAAAAAAATCATATTTTTTATCTGCCAGGACAAAACAAAACACTTTGTATATCCAATCATATTTTTTTCAAATCCATCCAACTTTTGTTTAAACCTTGTTTTTATAACGATATCACAAACTGAAATATTTAGCAAATACACCACTAAATGAACATCCGGTAACTTCACTTTTAATTTCGAATAAAAATTCACCCAAAAAGTAATGGAACTTTTTTTTACCTCTCTTACATAATCCTCATTTCGGCAATCCACAACAGAGAATAAAACAACAAAACAGAAAATGTCAATATATCACAGCCAGCTTATTATAATTATTATTATGAATTAAATAAAAAAGGAAAGTTTTTGTCAACGTGCGCGGGCGGCGAATCGAGCGAAACAGCCGGCTAGTTCCAACCCGCCAACGAAACTGAAAGTGCTGAAGGAGTCACGGTCTTTACTGGACAGCCTGCGAAGTCGAATCTGGTGCACGCCATTACATTAACTCCGTTGGAGATGGGTGAGAGTGACCGAAACAACATTGCAACGTTTTTTTTGCATTGACTCGGTTTGCGTAAAATCATTTATCAATATGACGTACTCGTAGACACGAACCTAAATACCATGAACAGGTCTATCTTGGGGCAGTTAAGTATTATAGTGCTCCATTTTTAATATTTTTGAAACGGTCATTTTAGTAACGAATTAGTAAAATCCAAGAAGTAACTTTTACTTTAATAATATTTACATACTTTAGTATGGAACCAAGTAAATATCTTTAAAACGAAAAGGACGATATTTATGAAACTTTGCAGGCAAGTACAATTACGCATAAGACATCTGATGCCATATTTTTTGTTACTACTGTACTTCCGGTTTCACCGGAAATACCCTCAACTTTTTTAATTTAAAGGGGACACCCTGTATATTTTTGCAGATTTTAAAAGATCTTTTTATTCCGAATTCGTACATATTAAGTTTAGTGGAAATTATTTGTAAAAACGAGAAATAAATCACTTTAGATTCAAAGAATAGGTAAATTTATTTAGTTTAGACTAATGAGAATAATACTTTAAACAAAATGTTTAAAATGCTCGCAATATGCAAGTCTATTAATAAATTCGTGAGTCACTCTTTCCAAGACTTCTCCACGTATTAGTACAAATTCATCAATAATTCTTTGTCTTAAATCCTGCAAACATGTTGGTCGTCTAACATAAACACGTGATTTTAGATAACCCCATAAAAAATATCTAACGGGTTGAGGTCCGGAGAACGAGCTGGCCATTCTATGAATCCTCTACGTCCAATCCATCGATTTGTAAAGTTCGCATCTAATTCGGTCCGGTCCATTAGAACACATATTGTAGATACATCCGGTATATCGAATTCGTCACCAGTTTTTATAGTTGAGAAAAACCTACCTTACTGATAAGACCCGTTGATACTCTTTTTGTACATTTTGGTGTATGTTACCAGTGAATTTGTAATAAATATGAACCTGCAAAATAAAAAAGTGCTAAAGTAAAAACTTGTAAAATTAAATAGGTTTTAGAAGATGTATCAAGCAAGTAAATTTGGTTTAAATTAAAAAATTTTTGATAATTAAATAATACCAAGTCTTCAACAATACCCGAAACCCACGTGATCTGGTAGCATCAAAAACACAGCGAAAGGGCCTGATTTGGTTCCTTATATGTCAACTGTCGTTGTCAATACTGTCAAAAATATCATTAGCGTTCATTTGGGTTTTTGGGTATATTTATAATATTTATATTATTTAAAGGTTATTGATTTTGCATTTTGTCAACACGCTTTTATTAAATTTTTCCTCAAATAATATTAAACCAATCAGTTCTTTTTAGAGCTCATTAGTGCTTTCATTCTTTTTTGCCGGTAAGTGTAAATTTATTTACTTTTATACAAGTTTATTGACAATATAATTTTCAGCTCAAAATGTTTACACCGGAACAAGATTCTTTTATTTTAATGGCACATTATAGAAGTGGATCTCGAAATGATGATGGAACTTGGTCATATTCAATTCAGAGTTGCATTCAACAATTTGAGGAACGTTTTCCAGCTGTACAAATAGAATATGATAGTTTTCGTCATCATAGACATGTTCTTGTTCAACGTTTTGAAACGAAAAATTGCATTTGTAAAGGAAAGGGGTCTGGAAGGCCCACAGTAATAACCGAAGAAGTTGTTTAAGATGTGCGAATTCGCATGGAGCAAAGTCCCACTAAATCAGTAAAAAAGTTAGCAGCTCAAGCAGCTCCCAGTGTTTGGGAGCTTGACTCTCTTATAATCTAATTTCATCGTTTTAGATTTATCTGTAGGAACTAGCCATAAGATTTTGAAAAAAAATCTATCAATGCATCCTTATAAGGTTTCAGTACTGCAACAATTGTTTCCTGGTGATTTTGTTAAACGTATGGAATACTGTCGATGGTTCAATGAGCAATTAAATGACAATCACTTATTGGATCGAACTTTTTTTACTGATGAAGCATGGTTTCACTTATCAGGATATGTCAATAGTCAAAATTATCGAACATGGGCAACTGAAAATACTCATTCATTTGTGGAGACAAGTCTACATCCCATAAAAGTTGATATTTGGATAGCAATTTCAAGAAGAAGAATAATAGGGCCCATATTTTTCTATGACACAATTAATGGCCAACGTTATCGAAATATTTTTCTTGAATTTGTTGAACAGCTACAGGATGACGAGTTACAATTGGGTTACTTTCAACAAGATGGAGCAACAGCTCATACAGCTAGAGCTACTATTGACCTAATAGAAGAATATTTTGATGACCGAATTATTAGTAAAGGATTATGGCCTCCAAGATCTCCAGACCTCACACCTCCTGACTACTTTTTATTTGGTCATATAAAAAATAAAGTATTCAGAAATCGTTTGCATGATGTGAATGAATTGGAGCAAGCTATAGTTAATGAAATTGAAAGTGTAACTGAGGAGCAACTGCATAATGTGTTCGAAAACATGAAAAGAAGGGTTAATGCTTGCATAGAAGCTGGTGGTGAACATTTTGAACACTTACTGTAAATGTATATTCTTTGTACAACATCAAATTATCCTTTAAAATAAATTATTGAAGTTGATGTGATCAATTCTATTCAGAACTGGATTTTTTTTTTTGTTTATATCAATATGACTTTTTGTTACATTTTTATATATATATATATATATATATTTTAAATGAACAAAAACAAATTTAACATGAAAAATTAGCATATTCTAAATTAATTTTCAATTTTATAGATACCTACTAATTTAAAATAAATAAAAACAAATTAAAAATTATATTTGTTTATTGTGTCCCATTGCCCATGTACAATTCCATCTCTTGAAGTAAATTTTAAATTGATTTCTAATTTCTAAACGTGCAACAAGCTAAATGTATGATCTGTAGGTACTTTCTATATCTATCAAGTTGATCTATTTGTAAGATTTAATAATTCTACTACATAAACGAAAACATTCAAAGCGATTATCACATGTTTAATCAAAATAAGATTACTATGACTTATTCTAACCAATACTGTAGTAATTTAAACAGTCAGCCGTAGTTAAGATAATATACCAGTTGCCATCAAGCTAAAATAAATAATTTGTAATTGTGTTCTTTATGCATAACATTTTTTAACCCTCCGTTCCCACACTTAATTTTTATCAAGAATTTGTCCCTCAAAATTTCAATTATTGAATAATAATAATTCTAAATTCAGCTCTTTTAATAAAATAGGGAGCTGTCCCATTCCGCTACACGCACTGGGATATATGATGCCCCATGCTTATTTATACACAACAATTGAACTTAAAACTCATAACAATTTTTTTATGGTAACTTAGATCACAATAAACATATGTACCAAAAAACTAAAAATGCTATTTTATTGACTTAAAAAGGTAAAAGACAATTTGTATCACAAACGAATATATTAAATTTAATCTAAATAAACGTAATCATTTAGTTAATCTATATACAAAATTGGTAAACAAATCCAAGATTTTCGGGTAAACTTCACTTGTATCCACTTTTTCTTTTTACGACTGGCAACCTCTTAGTCTTTGGAGGTCTTTCTTCAGTTTTCTCTTCGCTACTTTGCTCAATTTCGGCTTCAGTTTGAATTTCAACATAATTAAAATTCTTATCAGAATTTTCACCGCAAAATAATTCATGTTTATTATATCCTTTAAAGATTCAGGAACAAAGTGTTCTAATTGTATCTCGCTCAAAGGGCGAGAGGTGGAAGCATTTCTATGTAAAAATAAAATACCATGCCAATACAATACCATATGTAATTTAAAAATACCACTACTTCAAGATCCTATCGCAAAAAAAACAAATATTAAACTGTTACAGCACACGCTGGGACATAGTCTTTTGATGGGTATAGACTGAACTTCACTTGCAGAAGTACCTCGACCATATTGAATGTGATGGAAACTAACTGAATTTATACCAGCGGTATTGGTATTACTTCCAAACTTGAAGATAAAGAAGTGTACGGACGGAGCATCGAGATAAAGTACGGAGGGTTAAATAAACATTAAAAACAAAAAAAAACAGTCAAGAATCTCAAGATACGGTGATCTTAGGTTAGGTATCGAAATATTCTTCTTTTAATAAGAGAGGTATTGAATTCAATAGTGATTACATAAAAAAATTTAAAGATAAGATTTTATATTGGCCTAAATGGAATTCTAACATAAAAATATAATAATGTAAAACACCATTAATTTAATAATATGATTTTTTTTTGTTATATATCACTGTATTTTGTTATTAAGTTTACAGACCATAAAAAAAAGAAGAATAATTTTATTTTTATTTTATTTAAAACACCTACAGCACTGGCCAACATCTAGGGATTTTTACTATTATTTTCACCAATCGCTGTCATGACGTTTTGATCACGTGGGTTTCGGGTATTGTTGAAGACCTGGTACTATAACAATCATATTTATAGATCAACAAATAAACGCACTGTGGTATTTCTCGTCGACAGATGTTTACTTGACAAATTTTTAGTTTACAACAAATATTTTAAGATCGTTCCGATGGTTTTACTTTTTCATACGGTGCGGCTGCGATGCGATTTTGCGTTTGCAGCATGTCGCAACGATATCGTGGAAGTATCAAAATATTTGTAATCATATTGTAATGTTTTTTTATTTTAAACAACAGTTTATTTAAACACTTATTTATTTTATAACACTATTATTCTAATTTATATATATTTCGAATGTCTACTGTTTACTATTTATCTTCACTGTCCATATAATAACTAAATCTCGCTTGGTCCTCCACCAATATTTATATACAAATTTAAAAAATTGGCGAATGTGCTAGAAAGTTCACCTATTCTCACCAATACACTAGAAACATCCCGTTCTTCCTCAAATAGTCATCGAAAGCTCCTCCGCCATAGTCGTCACATATGTTTGGTCTTAAGGGGTTTAATTATGTATGATAATCGGACAAGTTGAGCCTCAAAGGCCAAATAAGACAAAGAGGGACTTGGGAGTATTAGAGCATGACTGAATAATGAAATGGCTCACATTACAATATGTGTAATTTTCA